CTATAGGTCAATTGACTCCCGCAGTTTCGCCTTTTTTGTTGCTGCTATTTTTTTTTTTTTTTTAGAATGTCAAAATTTAAAAGTTACACTAAAAATATATTATAAAATCGGTAGCTCCAAACTCAACTTTGTGCGTTTGTCTCTTTCTCTCTCTCGATTTATCGAACTATCATTACCATTTACAATTTACACATCATTTAAAAGTTTGATTGTGATCCTCTAACAGAAAGGATTTGGGTCCACCTCTTATTGGAGTAGGGCGATGGCATCGACGGAGCGAACACAGACAACCATCCATGCTGGCTCCACTAGTATTTTTTTTGCTTTTTTTCCTAAATTAAGGTAGGGCCAAAACTTCCAAATGAGCAACAACTTTTTGAAATGATACTATGATTTTACTTATCAATTAAATAGGAAGAAGAACGGGCAGTAAAGAATGATAGAGAAACTTCCAGTTGTTCAGCTGTTGCAGAATCAAAATTTGGAATTTTAAAGGGACGGATGGAAATAGAAAGAAGAGGGGCGTGGGTATGCGCGTAGAGTGGTGGTGAGTGAAGGGGGTTCAGTTCTCTAGGCTCCAACATCCAATAAGATTTTTTTTACTTAAAAAAAGGTTGAATCCCAATCTTGAGGGCTCCCATCGTTCCGTCCCTAGAATTTTGTGAAGGAGATAAATAGCGGGATGTGTTCCGACAGGCCAGAGAACAAGAGCTGTCTGTACTCTGCGCCTACAAGGAATCAAATTCCATGTTTCAAGAATCGAACCCCCACACTGCGACTTCTAATAAGATTTTTTATTGTGTGGCAATTTTGTATTGAATTTCATTTTTTATGTAATTAATTCCTAAAATATCTTATTTTACTTCGAAAAATATTTATCCCACAAGTTACTTCTTTTTGAAAAAAAATAAAAATGTAAATTTACTTCTTTTTAAAAAAATAAAATAAGACAACAAATAATCATACAAATTCTTTTAAATAGTTACATGTATCTAGTGTTGTTCATATTCATCCAAAATATAAGTTTGTATTGATTATCATTTCTTAGTAATTTTTTGTTAATATGACAAAGACGAATCACTCACACAACCTATGAGTTACGTATAACTCACACCAAAAATAATCTTATCGGATGATTAGAAAATATCATAAATAAGACATAAATCTTTATGGGTATAATGGGTGACGATGATAAAAGTAATATGTGAATGAATTAATTTCATTAATTGAGCAAATGGTACATTGGAGTATATATACATGTAGAATCTGCTTGTATAAGGAAATAAACTAAACTAGGACAAAATAATACGTAAAGGAAATAATCATTGTAAATATGGTAAGATGATCACGGTTAATACTCCCCCTTAAGTTGGAGCATAAAGGTCCATAATTCTCAACTTGCGAGTGAAATGGTGGAAAAGATCTTTCCCAAGAGCTTTAGTGAAAACATCAGCCAGTTGAAGCTTGGTAGAGATGTGTGTAGGAAGGATGAGCCCTGAGAGATATTTGTCACACACAAAATGGCAATTGATTTCAATATGTTTGGTGCGTTTATGAAAGACAGGATTGCATGTGATGTGGAGAGCAACTTCATTATCACAATGGAGTAATATACATTATGGATCGACAACAAGAAGATCACGCAAAAGACATTTTAGCCAAACAAGCTCACAAGTGGCCATCGCCATGGCACGGTACTCAGCCTCAGCAAAGGATCGTGAGACAACAGTCTGCTTCTTTGTACTCCAAGAAATGGGACTATTGCCAAGAGTGACAAAGAAACCAGTTGTGGAACAACGAGTAGTAGGGCAACTAGCCCAATCGGTATCGGAGTATGCAGTGAGTCGGAATCACATTGACCAGAATAGAAGAGGCCATGACCAGAAGAACCTTTCAGATAACGAAGAACATGAAGAGCAACGCAGTGATGTGAATCCCGAGGGTGTTGCATGAATTGGCTCAACACATAAACAGAGAAGGAGATGTTCGGACGAGTAATAGTGAGATACAAAAGACGACTCACCAACCTTCGGTAAGAGCTGGGATAAAAGAGTGCCATCGTCAGGAGTAAGCTTCAAATTATGATCCATGGGAAAGGAAGCAGACCGAGAACCCAAATTACCAGAATCAGCAAATATATCGAGAGTGTACTTCCTTTGATTAATGAAAATACCAAGCGATGATTGGGCAATTTCAAGACCGAGAAAGTATTTCATGGTGGCCAAATCCTTGATCTTGAATACGTCATCAAGGGATGTTTTGAGAGTAGTGATGGCAGAGAGATCATTTCTTGTAACCAATATGTCATCAACATAAACCAGAACAACAGTGAAAGAAGAGCCATGAGTTCGAGTAAAACGTGAATGATTAGAAGTAGATTCAGAGAAGCCATCTGACAATAATGTAGAAGATAGTTTCGAGTACCAATTGCAGGAAGCCTGCTTAACCATAAAGAGATTTAAGTAGATAACAAACACGAGTCTCCCCTCACAACCATCACCGGGAGGGAGAGTCATGTATACCTCCTCCTCTAAATCTCCGTGAAGAAATGCATTACTGACATCAAGTTGATGGAGATGTCAATTGCGGGCTGTAGCAATGGCCAAAACATAGTGGACAGTCACAAGTTTGGCTACAGGGGCAAAAGTGTCATGGTAATCAAGGCCTTCAACCTGACTGTAACCCTTGGCCACCAACCGAGCTTTATATCTTTCAATGGAACCATCGGCATGAAGTTTGGTTTTGAACACCCACTTACAACCAATAGGTGTCTTGCCAGGGGAAAGGGTAGTGAGACACCAAGTATTGTTAGATTCAATTGCTCGAATCTCAGATTGCATAGCATCACGCCAATGAGAATGCTTTGCAGCGTGAGAATATTGAGTGGGATCAGGGGATCGGGATAGAGCAAATAAAAAGGTAAAATGATCAACAGAAAAATTATGATAAGAAACAAAGTGAGAGAGGGGATGAGCGGTACCTGAACCTGTGACCAGAGTGGGAGAGTGCGCAACAGAAGAAGACGAGGGAAGAGTAGGGCAAACGTAGTCAGCAAGGCGAGCAGGACGGTGTATAGCGCGACGGGGACGAGTAAGAGGTGGAGTAGGAACGGGCTCTGCGAGAGGTAGGGTTGATGGTGAAGAAATGGGATGGTCAGGGATAGGGTGAGGTGGGACAAAGGGTGACGAAGGTGATTGGGGTATTCGTTTGAAGGGAAAAACATGTTCGATAAAAGTAACGTCTCGAGAGATTATAGTCTTCTGGATATCTAAGTCATAGACTTTGTATGCACTATGGGTTGGGGGATATCCTAAAAAAACACGGGGACAAGAGCAAGGTTGAAACTTATCACGGTGGGTAGAGATAGTGTGAGCATAACAAAGACAACCAAATACATGCAAGTGGTCATAAAGGGGTGCGTATTGATAAAGGCGCTCAAAAGGGAAAATATTATGTAAGGAGGGGGACAGGGTGTGATTGATGAGATATGTAGCAGCGAGAACACAATCCCCCCAAAAGGAAAGTGGAAGATGAGCTTGAAAACGTAAACATCGAGCCACATTTAGAATATGTCGATGCTTACGTTCAGCAACCCCATTCTATTGAGGTGTCTCCACGTAGGTGCGTTCATGGAGAGTCCCTTGTTCAAAAAAAATCCTGAGTTGCATTAGCAAGGAATTCTTAACCATTATCAGTGCAGATGT